GTGTGTGTGTGTGTGTGTGTGTGTGTGTGTGTGTGTGTGTGTGTGTGTGTGTGTGTGTGTGAAGGGAGGACTCTACCTGTCTCAGAGTTAAGCCTTGATTGATAAGGCCCATGAAAGAGGTCAGGACTGGACCCAGATGGGGAGAGTAGTTCATCTTCTACTTTGTCCTATAGTGAAATGGTAAAACTTCTTGTATTATCCAATGTTTATATTACATGCATCTTTTTGCCTCATAATTTGCATGGATAGCTGAGAATTAAGTATATTCTCATGATAGCATCTTAGTTGAGTTGCATAATCATACTTTAACTCAAAATACATTTCACAGGTTTGTGTTTACCTAGAACATAGACATTTACAAATATAGCAGGTAGAAAGCCCAGAGGTAACCATCCTATTCATTTAGTACCATTTTTAGCATAATGAACCTTTTGAGGAATTTTCTGAAATTTAAGGTTTCACAAACCACACTCCACAGAATAAAAGCTATTTTTTCCCTTCTCTTACCTCTGCTGTGGTGCTGAGATACTGTTGGGTAGTCGTCTGTGCCCAAGGTTCCTCTGTAATCCCAGTCATCTGCATATGAGGATTCCCAGTGCTGCTGGTGCCATAGTTTTTGGTAGCATCCCTTGCTAGGACCTCTGTGACATTCCCAACCAGATTCTTGGGGTCATATGTAACAGCATTTATGGTAATGGGGATCTTTGGAGAAGTGGTATTTCTAGTGATCCTTGCTAAAGTTTCTCCATCTTGGTGAGCTGAAGGAAATAAAGGAGAGTGGCTACAATCAACTTCACATTTAACTGACTCACCAAAGAATGAACAATTTTACTCAGTAAGGAGAAAAAACCTCTTACCACAGACATGTTAAGGTACCCGACATTTATTCTAAATAACAGTTCTGTAGAAAGCCATATTAGTCTAATGTATCCCATGTAGTAGGATCAAATTGCCTCATCTAACTCCCTAATTCTTTTTTTGGGAATAGAGGGCTAGGAGATAGACCAGTGATTTCACCTCTAGGGTGGAGGGGGAGGGAAGGAAAAAAGAAATTTACACAACAACTTTATTATATATTAAAAAGGAATAGCAAGTTGTATATAATAGATTTGCAGTTTCATGTGCAATCATATTTTTATTATACATTATGGAAATGCTTGTTTTATTTCATAAATTAAAACCAAAATCATGTAAATGTGAAAAAAAGAAGCTCCCAGACGAGGAAAACTGCCCTTTACCAATGCAAGTTGAGACCTTCTGTACAAATTATGTATGGATTTATGGATTTGGGGATTTTATTTATGGATATTTATGGATTTATTGATTTATTTTAAAGATAGTCTTGATTATAAATTGTATCTCCTAGGGCATTTTTTATTGTTGACCCTTATTTTGAATAACCCTTGGAAATTAGCGGGTATCTCATAAACAACAGTGACACATCTTACCTACCACTAATTATTCAAGTCTGAAAATAACTGTGATCTCTGTCTACTTAGCCATTCAGTTTTTTATACAGAAACCCCACTAGTGGCAAACCTCCGTCAAGTCACTACCTCTCTAGGCCTCAGTTTCCTTAACTTGCAACAAGCCAAACTAAATTATTTCTTAGACGCCTTCTAATTTTAGCATTCTATGATTTGACAAAGCACACATTTTAGAAAGTAAATTAAGTGGGGTTTCTGTATAAAAAACTGAATGGCTAAGTAGACAGAGATCACAGTTATTTTCAGACTTGAATAATTAGTGGTAGGTAAGATGTGTCACTGTTGTTTATGAGATACCCGCTAATTTCCAAGGGTTATTCAAAATAAGGGTCAACAATAAAAAATGCCCTAGGAGATACAATTTATAATCAAGCCAGAACTACAACTCAGCTCTCGTGACTCAGGCCAATGTTCTTTCCTTTGAAGGTTGGATTAATCAATTATGGGGAAGAAAAGTGTGACCTAGTAATTTTATTTTGCTTTGCTTTGCAAGGTATATATACTTTCAAATCTATTATTACTGTTTTTGGGTTTTTGTTTTTTGCATCGGATTTGCCTACTTCTTTCATAGTGGGGTTTTTTCCCCAAAATGTGCCACACAGATGTGTAGAGTTCTAAGAGGTACCTCTAGGATATTCCTTAAAAGTGTGGTCAAGTCACCATGTTTAACCTGTCTGCTCCATCATACCTAGGCTTTACCAGTGGTCAAGATTCCAAGGACACAAAACCCAACATAAACTTGCAAAGCTGAGAAACTACTGCTTTGGGGAAAATGTTAATGACTACAGTGCTGCCTGTCTCCATATTTCCATGGAGTAAGTTCTGTTTGTCTCCCTTTAGATATTAACAGCTCCAGTTGTTGAAGCCAGAGGGTAGTGTGTAGTCATAGCTGCTGGACAAGTCTATGTAAGTTTCTGCATAATTAACTTTTTGTGCTCTCTCTCTCTCTCTCTCTCTCTCTCTCTTTCTGTCTCTCTCTCTTTCTGTCTCTCTCTCATCCTGTTGGAATATCTGGAGGGGACTTATATTTTGGGGTGTTAGGGTATGACTCAAATGAAGTTCCCAGGTCCCTTCTACCTTTAGGATTCTATGATTAGATGACTTCTGGGGGCATAAAAGCCACTTGGAGGATACAATTTGGGGGCATTTATTTCCTCATTGACATACCTTTTATATGACAGCATATGACCTTGAAATAGATCAACACTTTTACAATGGACCTATCCAGAACAAGGCTTGGCACAGCTGAATGCTTTATAAATGTTTTGATTAGTTGGCTCTGTGGAACTAGCCATGTTCTTTAGGTGGACTAAATTTTTAGTTTCTTTTTTTTTCTTACACCTCACCCATTTTCCAAGAGGATTTGAGGGAGCACAATTTTATTTTATCGAATACTGCTTGAAATAAGTGATCATTAGCCTGAGTTCTGTCCTCAGAGATGTTTTGTTTGTTGTAATGAGATTTGCCCTGTGCTCCTCATTGGAATGACTATCATTGAGGACAATTTTAGCTCTCCAATCCTCCAAAAAGATTTAATGACTGGGTTAGGAGACACAGAAGCTTCCAAATATGATTACCTAGTAGGTAATTATGATGTCTTAGCACATCAACCTATGATTACCTCTACACCATAAGTAGTAGTTGGTAAGGTTTCATCCGGAGATGAACATTATTGTTTTATGTGTCAACTCACATATTTAATGCAATTGACGAAGCAAAGCTACCATGAATGTTACAGCAATAGTTTAGAAACCCTTTCTAAAGGCTCTTCTGTGAATAAAACCATCTTTTTAGATTTTGAGTTTCTTCAAGCCAGTTTTAAAGATGACTTCTACAATTTTCTTTGAGTTATATGTGTATATATGCATATATGTAAACACACACAGACAATATGTGTATATGTATGTATGTGTGTACATATGTATACATACAAATATATAGAGATATATATCACAACTATAAACCAAAAAGTTCTATTTTCCATCAATAGCTACAAGATTTTTCTCAAAGAAGGAACTACGGAAGATTCTAGACTTATTCCCCTTCATTTTATATCTATGCTTTTAACATTCACATTACACTATTTAGGAAACAGGAAAATTATGTCATCTTTAGCTTCTAGTTTCTCCAGTCTTGGGGACCTTGGCCATAAACCTGGGAGCTACATTTGGGATGCATTAATATCTTTTGTGCATGTCTTGGGATTTTGAAAGAGGAAAGGAAGATTCCAAGTTCCTATCTAGAAATATCCACTGTATCTCCCAATAAATAATTTATACAACCTGAGCTCTTCGGGAAGAATGGTACAAAATTATATATATAAATGCTGGAGAACTTCATGTGTTAATGGTACAAAATTAAGTTTTAAAATGATCCACACACATACACACACATATATATTGTCTTATAGTGGCTAATATTTTCACAATATTAAAAGAGAAACTTATTTACATAATAGAAAAATAAGCAGAGAGTTAAAAAGCTTCAATATCACTTTCATTGTTATTATACTTCCTTCATTAAAACATTCTTTTTTAGCAGAGCATAGTTAGGTATGTTTATCTTCAGTTTCGATCCAAGGAGTTTAATAAAATGATTTTAAAAATACTTTTAAAAATCCCCATATTCTTTAATTTGTGAATAAGTTTTAATTAGCCTTTTAAAATTATCTAGGACCCATGCTTGAAGAGGCTATGTCTAAGAGACAACTGAAATCAGATTCAGAAGAAAGTTGGAAATTTTTATATAGGTAGCAGCATGGTATAGTGAAAGTGTGTTGAAGTCAGAGAACATAGGTTCGAATCTTGACTCTCCAACTTTTAATCTGTGTGACCTTGGGCAAATCACTTAACTTTCCTAGATTTTAGTTTCCTCCTCCATAAAATGAAGGATGGGGATTTGACTGTATCCAAGGAATAAGATCCTTTCAAGCTCTAAATCTATGATCTTATGAAGGCAGTTACCTTGCATGCCCCGAGGGAATAGTATTAAAATATGGTTCCAATGTATTATCGTCCTCAAAAACATATGTGTATCTGTGTGTATATGTGTGTGTGTATACATATATATTCATATACATATGTGTGTATTGTAGTTTTTAAATTAATCTGTTACAGGATTAAAGAAAATAGGTAATAGAAATGGGCTCTTGATGCCATTGGGATAGGATAGGGATAGGAAATGGGCCTGTGATTTCCTTGATATATATAGCTTCTCAATGAGGAAGCTCCTTCTACTAATGTATGTCAATAATTTCTTTGTAACTTAAAATCTTAGAGTTGTCTAAGGGCACTGGGAAGTTAAAGGCCTTGCCTAGAGTTATCACACAAGCAGTATTTGTCAGAGGCTCGACTTGAACCCAGGTCTAACTGGGTTCAAGGCCAGCTCTGTATTAATTGTCATACCATCTCTCGTGAAGATGAACATGATGACAATGATATATAATTTGGCACATACTCTCCCTTCCAAAATACTTAAAGAACATTTAAGAGGCCTTTAGGGGCATCTGCTCATCTCATTTTACTAATAATTCCTTTAGAGTAAGTAGAAAATAATATGTACTGCATTAATTAGATATTCAGTATAGCATATTGATAGATGGTGACAGAATTAGCAGTCTGTCCAACGAGTATTAAATGCCATTCACCCTTTGACAAATAGGCAAACTAAGTCACAGGGTGGTTAAATAATCAAGTGCAACTGAGAATAAGCCAATGAATACAACCATGCCAGAACAATGGATCATAATATTTTGGCTATCTTTGGTGAAGATAGATTACTTTGGCCCTTTTCAAAGAACAATGAACAACGACTACAATTTTGGCGTATCCATCTTAAAGCCCTATCTATCTTCTTTCCTCATGGCCATTTTCAGTGGCAGTGAGTGAGATAGGAAAGAAAAGCATATACATGTGATGAGACAGAGATGAGAGATAGAGAGCAAGATTATAGAGAGATAGAGATAAAAGATGAAGGATAGAGAGAGATAGAGAAGTAAAGACATTCTGTTTGTATTTATGTATATGTGTGATCACATTTGTGTAAGCTAGCTGGCTAAACCAGTGTATGGATTGAAGGTAGGGTAGGGGGGAAGGAGAAAGCAAGATGAATAGTTGAGGACATTCAGAGAAGTTTACAGCTAGGTCTGAGACTGAAAAAAGTTGGGAAAAACGTGTCTCTAGGAAACTTAAATGATGCAATGGAAGCCCAGCTGAGCTAGTCATCTCAGGCTTCCTTATAAATTGATCAGACTATCCTATGGTTGATCTTTT